GTTTAAGTAGTTAAAAGAAATATGTTGGGCATGTTATAAAATCTTTTGAGTGTTTACACTACTCTGTTTTTTAATTTGTAACATAGAAATACATTTTCACCAAGTGTAACTTTCTTACATTTTTTTAGTTCAACGACGTGTTGAGGCAACCTGTTGAATATATATGTCTCAACCTTCTCTCATGATATATTATGTACTTAAGTGACTATTTAATGTAATATTCTTCCCCCATTTTCTACATCTTCAAGTGTGCAAAATTAATGAACAACACATTGGGAGGAAACAAAATATATACACGTTTCGTTCCTATTATAATTATGAGTTCCTAATTACGTGTAATTGAACAAATATAGGCAGATATTGAATTTTCGATCCTAATAAATATATTAAATGTCTTATCCATTAAGTTACAATTTAATTAATTGATTTATAATTAATTGAATGTGAACTAATTATATTTTTTTTCTTTGAAATTGTTAGCATATATTATTGTTATTGCTATTATTGTTAGCATTTGAGAGTAAATTAACATTTTCTTATTATTCATGATTAAGCTTATATAAAATCTAAAATACACTTTTAAGTTTTTAAAAAGTGACAATTTAATCATCAACATTTAAAAATTATTCTAAATGGTATATAAACCTATTTGACCGTTGATTAACTAACAATGTGGTAAATTGAGTTAACAAATTTTAAATGACGTGACAATATTAACATTTGGCAACATTTTGAATTGTTTATATTAATAGAGGAATCGTGGCATGTCACAGACCAATCGCGCTTTATTACTTGAATAATTGAGTAATTATTCTAATTATGAATATATATATATATTTTTTGTTTAGGTCCGGGTTATTTGTATTGAATACCACTTGTTCACCGACCTGAAATATATATATATATATTTTTTTAAAAGAAGAAGATTTTACTAATCAAATGCCACGTGGGCTTGTAGATGAAAGAAAATCCCAACTACAAAGGATACTGGTGTTGTCAGAAAAACGAACTAGAGTAAGACAAACCATATTTTGAGCCAATTTAAAGAATAATATCAAGTCTAAATATTGTGGACGGATTGGCCACTACGGTATTTAGTCCATTCGACCTAGTCAATTTAGGCCCCATTTAAACTATTTTATGGAAATAATTTGATTCAGTTTTCCATTCAGTGACTACAATTCTCCGGCCATTGTTTGTTCAAGAAACAGGGAGTGACCTGTGAAATTTATACATATTTCTAAATATCTCCATAATGTTGTCTATTTTGGACCTAGTTTTTGCGGTTTTATTTTTGAAATCACAGAATATAGAGTGGAAATTATTTTTTTTTGTTTTGTTTTAGAAATTATGGTAATATTGCTCAACTCTATGCATTTTTTTTTGGTTAATGGTGTGTTTGCGAATAATGGTAGAATGAATAATTTTGAAAAAAAAAAGATTTAAATATAATTGAATTTTCAAAATATCTATTCAAGTGATACCATACAAATTAATTTAAAAGTAATTTTAAACTTTCTTAAAATCAAAATTTTAATTTGCCAAAACATGATTAATGAAAAAGGGGTTGTTTTGACAAGGTGAAAGTGATTTTGGCCATATAAAAAAAAATACCAAACACGCTTAAAATCTATTTTTGGGAGCATGGCTCCGTAGTCCTTAAAATTAGTCCATCCATCTTGCAATCAATTCGATTTAGTCTACGCTAATCATAGTATCAACCACAACTTAAGTTTATGTAAAAATTGGTAAAACCATACTCATGTGAATTATATGAGTCAGGTATATTTATTGTCAATAAAAAAAAAAAGAAGAAAAGCTACTTTTAATACTAGATCTAAATGCCTCATAAGAAAAACTAATTTGTTTTTCTAGTAGACAATAGTTTGTTATTATACCACATCTTAAAGCCTACTAATTACTTATCATAATAGTGATGCTGAAATCAATTAAAAAAATGTCATGGTTAATAATTAAAAAAATATATTTAAATAATAAATTAGTTCTAAAACATAGTTAAAATACGAGTATAGAATAAATAAATAAATATATATATATATATATATATATATATGTATATCTAAATACTTTTTTGGATGCAAAATTGACGGGAAATCATAATTCATAAATAAATAAGTAAAAGACACCCTTATCCTCTTCTTATTGACTTTTCTTTCCCCATAATTTTGGCTTTTGTGTTATATGAACCACCACAAAGTTCCGACTCATGATGCACTTGCACCACGTATTTTTTCTTAAAGTTATAACAAATTTTGTAGTAGGAATTAATGTTCTCTTTTATTTTTCCAAAGTACAAAGAAATTAGGAGCAGATAATTTGAAACGCTTATCTCGAGAAAGTAATAAATCACTTAACAGTAAGTTTGTGTATGATGAATTGATGGTCTAAATGGGAGTAAAGTCTTGTAATTTTTTTTTAATGTTATATCATTGAGGGGTCGTAATTTAAACTTAGGACTCTGGTAAAATATATATATATATATATATATATATATATATATATATATTCAAACTTATGACTAATAATAATAAATTATATGCCAATTTTAACCTTCAGATCGAAGGTTTAAAGCATCTTCGTTTTTATTTTTTTTTACAAATGAAAATAGAACTGATTTCTGGTAACTTCTCTTGCCTTTATTTTTTATTAGGAAAATAAGCATAAACATGGTTGATGATAATTTCTTGTTGTTGTCTAAAATTTAAAAAAAAATAAAAAATTGTTATAATTATTTTATATTTTATATTATGTATTTTATAAGTAAAATTTGATAAAATGATATTTTTACCAAGGTTTTTTTTAATTTATTTATAAAAATCTAAAAATAATAACAATAAAAAAATTTATACACAATTTTATAAACATGTTTTTGAAAATGAGAAACGAGAAACAAAAACAATTACCAAATATTTATGTTTCTTGAAAACTATAAACGAAAAATAGAAACGAAAAATTTTACTGAACGATCTCAGAATCGTTTTATCTCACTGTCATATGCTAAATTAAAATTAGATGAAAAATAAAGTTTGCTTGATTATAACAACTTATTTATTTTTTAACAAACAAAAAAATCATCACCATTCAATAATGATCACATATAAATTGAGACCTTTTTTTTAGTATTACTCTTTCAAAACTTATTTCATGAATAATGCTTAGAAATGCCACTTCACCATTTTCAATTTTCACTTTACTAGCAACACATGCTTTCAATATACGATTTATAATTTTTCCAACATTATTTTTTAATAAGTTTTGAGAGAATAATGTTTTGCAAATAAATTTATAATTTATATTATTAAAAAAAGTCGTGGATTTTTATCTTGAAAAATAAAAACTGCGATAGATTATTTTGAACAAGGTAAAATGAATAAAAATCAAGAAAATGATTGGGTTGCAAATGCAAGATTATTTGAAAGTGTCGTGTGAATGTTAGAAAACAAGGACCAATCCCAATATTTTCTAATCAAGGAAGTCGAATTAGTGAAAAGTCGGGAGGATTTTAGATAAAATAAAAGAAATAAAAAATAAAAACAGACAAACTTTATATATAATATTAAATATATACATGTTGGTTCACAGAAAAAAAAAATATATTAAATACATATGTATCTAACAAAATTTTTATTTTTATTTTTATCAACAAACTTATATCTATATAATAATAAATAAAGAAAATGAACAAAATTCAACGTCCTTTCCCCACTTCTAATTCTCCAAAGTCCACGAAGTCTCGTCTCCAAACACGAATATATGATTCTCGTAGTCATTACGCATGCATGACGGCATGACATGACACGCATTTTATTATAAACTCTTCACTAATCCTCCATTTGGCAGTTGTTTACGTGATTTGAATTCTTTATCCTTTTTTTTTTGTTTAATACTTTTTTTGGTAGGAGAACAATTTGAAATTTGTATAATTATTATTATTAATTTTTTTTTTTGGATTTTCAGTCGTTAGGAAAATAAAACAAAAGTGTGATTGATACAGGCGTTTAGTCCTACTTTATTAATTACAAATGAAAATATGACAAGGTTAAATTAATAATGTATTTTAAAATTCTATGAGACTACAAAATGGGATGGCTTTAATTTTGATATTTTTTTACATGAAAACATATTTAACCTACCCGACGTAAATAGTTTTAAATATTAGATTATTGCTGTTAAAATACTAGGGTGGTCATTGTACTTTTACTTTTAGTGAATTTTTTCTACTCTATTTAGTTCTTATACTTTGAATTTTGGTTTATTTTAATCATTATACTTTCAAAATCTTCGATTTGGTCAATGCACTTTTTCATAAATGATTGTTTTTGTCCATTCATTTTACCTTTTATCTCATTTTTTCAATCACAATATCAACCAGACACTATCTTCAGTATATTTGTTGAAATATAGTAGTGACTTGTTATTAAAAGGTTCCCATTATGACAAAGTGAGCATAGCTCAACGGTAATTGATATATAAAAGACTCCCATTACGTAACGCTCCAGGTCCAGGATTCGGACCATTTATCGATTTGAGCGTGTCATCCTTGCGCAGAGGCATGCTAATATTCTATGTATTGTTCATTTTATCGAATGTCCTCGAATATGCAAGGTAATTTACTTCGAAAGTCTACGAGCTACCAAACAAAACATTAGAATTTGAAATAAATTTGTTAGAAGTAAATAGGTTAAAAAAAAGTGGAGCATTACAAGGAAAAAATTATATTTTGAAGAACATAAATATGTTTTTAAAAACTATTTCTGTTTGTTTTTTAAATTTACATAAATTTTGTTGAAAAACAAAAGAACAGAAAATTTGAATTTGTTATCCAACACTCGTGTTTTTTTAAAACTAAAAATAGAAAACAAAATAATTATTAGACGAAACCTTGCGGATCTATGGCCTTTTGAGTTTTATTTATTTACTTTTGGGTGTGCGTGTGGAAACCAGGACTTATCTGGCCGATGAACGAGGGGCAGGTTGCAAAAGCTTACAAGATTTCGCTGTATGGGTTACAGTAAAGTTTGAAACCATCACTTTCAGTGGAGAGAAGGGGAAAGTGGCCATGGACAACCGAGCAGGTGAGAACACGCAAAGAGCAACAAGAGGGCCCGGCGACGAATTCTTACTAGTCGAACGGGGTTGGTTGAACTTCGAACAAAGGAGCATCTCACCGCCAACCAATATTTGTCAAACCAAAACAAGGAAAAAAGAAAAAAAAAAAAAGGAAAAGAAAGAAAGAAACAATACTTGACTGTTTCTTCCTCTCTGAAATGGAGACGATTAGCTGCAACGGATGATCCCTCTAATTCGTGTGGTTCATTTCGTTGCGTTTTTCTCTTCGACGAATGCTTGCCGATTAACTACAAGGGGCGATCTGTCTAATTATTGTGGTATAATTATTTGCCGAGAACAGCTACAGCCCAGTGGGTTGGAGGGAGAAGAAGCTTTAAGCCCTTAATGGAGTATTGACTATCGTTCTGAAGGAGGTAAATTCTTCTCAATCAAGTAGTGGATTATATGCGAAGCTGACTGCATTGCTGGGTTCTGGGGCTTTTTATATTATTCATGATGGGTAGGAATTAGGATTCGAGGTCGATTACTATCTTAGTCCAGTTTCATATTTTCTCTCATTTGATTTATGTTAAAGACTCGGTGATTGTTCCCCTGTGATCGAGAAAACACCTACTTATTCATAGGTGGACGCGTGCTTGACTGGAATCATCGGATAGTTTGATCAGACTAGAGTAATCGTGCGGTTACTTGGTTGCCAAAATCTCGTCCCCTCACTAGTTTAAAGATTTTGGTTAATTAGTCTCCAAAGTTCAAGTTGGCAATAGAAATACCATAGTTGCAATATTATAAATCTGTGTTTTAGGGTAATCTATTGTTTATTTATCGAAGTCATGTTTTCTTTCTGCATAAATTTACAGAAATACAGCCCAAGTATGAGCTGCATCTGCTTCGGTTCCTCTACTGTGGAGAGGAAACGGATCTCTACGCGTGCTGATAAGGAGATGGACGGTAAGGACTTGAATAATCAGAATTCCTTTAGTTCAGTCAAATGAAAACACAGCTATGGAAAATTCATTATTTTTAAAGCGTATCTGCAAAATTTTGCACATATATGGGTATCATTGACGTTCATATTTTGTAAATACAATTTATGCATGTATATCAGGCTCATTAGTGTACGTTTTATGTGATTTCCTCTTTGCTTTGTTTTGTGTTGCCTAGTTGACTTGCTTGAGAATGTTAAACAATTCTCCTTCAATGAACTAAGATCTGCTACAGAGGATTTCCATTTGGACAATAGAATTGGACGTGGAGGTTTTGGAACTGTTTACAAGGTAAAAATAATTTCCGTCAGTCATGTCCTGTGTACTCCAGACGCAATAATGAAGGCATTTAAGAATTGAGATGATATAAATTATCTGACTAACTTAACAATGAGTTATCTGAGTTAGTTTAGTTTTTAACTAGCTGTTAGACTACTGGAATCCGCATCCTAGAGGTTCAACATCAAATTAGTTATTCAAGACTTAAGAACTTGTTCAATATTGCATCTGTTTTTAAAACTATGGCTGCCTGCTAACAATTTGTTTTTGTTTGTAATCTACTTTTAAAAATGTTTTTAAAATGGCAGTCAAATTTAAAAATTAGAAAGCACTTTTCAAAAATCTGTTTATGGATTTTGACATTTGGTCAATATTTAAAATGTTATTTTATTTATGAATTTATTTTTAATGAAAAACTAATAAAAAAGTTGTTAGTAAACAAGTTTAACTTTTAAAACAAAATTATTATCAAATGGGTCTAGATTGCTGGAATCATAACCACCTTAGAACTGAACCATATCACATGTTGACAAAATGGTTGATGTTGGTTCTAATATTTACATAGGTAGGTAGCTGTTTGGCGCTCGATAAATTCAATAGCATTTTATTTAGTGACTCTTTTTAATAGTTATGAGTTATGACTTGAATTCTTCTGAGCTATGTTCTCTATCATATCAATTCTGAAGTGTCCTCTTCCACTATTTGTTGGATCAAATTTTATGATCATTGAATCTAGATAAAAGAATCAGTGTCATGAATATTAATTTTCATCTTAGTTCATGATCTAGTGTTGCTCTGATGAGGAAAAATATCAATATGATATAATACAGAACTCAGAAGTGATTTCTTTCCCTTCTTCCTGCATGTGTATTGAACCTTACCGTACAAACATGTGGGATATTGCCAGGGCACATTAAGGAGTGGAGTACAAGTAGCGATAAAGAAACTTTCCACAGAGTCTAAGCAAGGGGCTCGGGAATTTTTGACAGAGATCCAAACCATTTCAAATGTCCGGCATACAAACCTTGTTGAGTTGGTTGGATGCTGTTCCCAAAAAGCTAACCGGATTTTGGTCTATGAATATCTGGAAAATAACAGTCTTGACCATGCTTTGTTAGGTACTTAAGAAAAT